AAAAAAAAGTCGCGTGCTTTTTACCAGACCCATCTGCCGACATGTATTTCGACACCTACCGACATATATTTCGACGTACAGTAAATTATGAAAAACCGAAAAAATAGCAAAAAGATTAACAATTTTCGCAATTTACTCGAAATTTTGCACGAGTCAAACGAACGGTTAAAAGCATCCGCCACTCTTTTTGTGCGCCAGTGCTATGATTCCGTGAGTCGCAGGTCCAAGTATCGGCACATTCCGAACGAAAAATTACACTGAAAATGGCACAACGTCGAAACCGGTTTGTCTCCCAACCAAATTTGACAAGGGATGATGGAAAATCATTCCACATTACATCACACTCCTACCCTGTCGGAAACACCAACAACGAAAATGAGAATAACGGCACATGCAGTAATTAATTGATAGAAAAATATTTTCTAATAAAAAAAATTATTATAATTGTCAATAGCATTTTCAATCTTGATAATTTATCAAGAAAATAGATTTAAACTTCTGTGCTAGAACTGGGAGTTCTTGATAAATAATCAAAAATTTACAAATTATAAAAATATTGAATTTATTAAGTGCACAGAACCGGACTGTAAGTATATACATATTTGTTATGAAATATAGCAGTGTTATTCAGTATATTTTTTTCTCACTGAAGAAGTGAAGATTTTGGTAGTGAAGATTTGGTAACTTTTCTTAAGAGATTTTGGTAGAAAAAAATGTTGGCGAGTGGCAACCATGATTAGAACTGGCTGAGCAATAACACCTTCACTGGCAGCATTCACAGCTGACGATGTCTCCGAAGAAGAAGGCAAAAAAGCAGAAATACCAGTATTACCACCAGTTATTAAACCGGTATTATTATCATGCGCATTCCCAGCTGTTAGGCTATTAGCAGCAACAACAGCATCATTAAATTTAGATGAGGGCAGTTGAGTGTGATTTTGCATTTTAGATGGCTGAGCAACAACACCTTCACTAGCTTTATGTTTTGAACGAGTAATTCGTTTGTTTTCAATTATACCAGGAGCCGGCAAGTTAGTATTATCATTTACTGACTCAATTAATGCGATAAAAGTGCTTTTTATTCCGTCCAAGTCCGAAATCGCGTTTAGAACTTTATCTTTAGGCCTACAATTGGCCGCACAATTAGTACACAAACTCATTATTGCGAGCGATATATAATATTAACCATAAAGCACAGAGCGAAAGAAAACACGTCCGGACCGTCTGAAAGCTACCAAAAGGAAAAAAAATTTAAAATTTACCGAGTACATTTCATTTAAAAATTGTTTGGAGTTCAGCATAATCCGCTAAGTTTGACACACAAGGAGTGTTTATCCTTAGGGACTGCCTCAAGTAGCACAAAAATCAAAAATACACCAAAATATTTTGTGTATTTTTTGCATCGGCGTGATATACATTTTCAATATAAGAAATATGCCATTTCTAAGCGCAGTTTTTGAACAGTTTATTTCGACTCAGTGTTAAGCTTATACCGCTTTTACGTGCATTATTTAGACCTACCGTAAATTTTTTTTACTGATTTTCGGCATATATATTATGCTAGTGGTATACAAGTTTTCTTGTTTCTAGAACATAATATAAACTCCGTTGGTGTAAAATACGTATTGGTCTTGGCTCAAATCATACACCATAATGGTAAAGAATTTACATCATATTCTAGCATAATATATTTTCATGAGTGTGAAGAGTACAAAAGGATTCGAGGAATAAAATTTACTACGAATCAAAAATAAAATTAACTCAGACATAAAATTTACACCGAAGCTCTTTTTTAATCTGCACAACTTGGAATTCTTTTTATAATTCTCAGAACTCCTCTTCGTAATATGCAGGCAAGAAAATCGCGAATATATATGAATGTGAGTTCCTAATTTAAAAACGAGGTACATTCTGTTGAGTGAATTTCGGTACTACCCCCTCTAAAACTCGAGCGCCTCAAAATTTATAAGGATTGGAAGATTTTTAAATAAATCTGGAAAAACTTATATTTTTAAAGCAATGATTTTTTCGCCATTATTAAATTTTCAAGAGATGAGCTATTTAAAAAAGGGTCGAAAGTACACATAAAGTGGCATAGTTGAGCCAATGTACATAATGAAATTGTTAAATTAGTTAAATAATAGTCATACAGCTTTAATATGGCGTCCAGCTCAGTTTCAGTATTAGGCTAAGTTTACAACCTAACGTATTAGCGTAGCGAGAATACATAAAAATCGCTTCTAACCAACATTTACACAGTCTTTCATGTTTATCGCTGTGCAAGCAAATAAAAATTATGCAGTTTGTTAAAAAAAGCTTTTTCTCATACTTAAAGCCCAAATAAATAAAAAATAAGCATATGTACATATTTATATAATAAATTAAACATCTCTTTTACTGCTATTATATACAATACAATATGCTTAAGTTTCGGTATAAATTTTCAAAGGGTTGTAGAAACAAATTAAAATATATTAGGGGAATCCCTACGCAGCAATGTATCACACGTTTTGTTGCTTTCCCAACAACAAAATATGTGCTAGATTGCTACGTAGCAACTTTAAATCTAAAATGCTACTCATCGTAAATTCCCCTATTATAAAAAATTAGTCGTGTATAATTTTGCTACAATTTAAACACTAGCTACTTTTTAATCGCGAGCGATTATGCTGGCGAAGAAGTTTCTTTGAATTGAGCGATTTCCATTGCATCGCGTAACGCTATTACTCTAGGTTGTGAACTTGGCCTTACTTTTATAATACTTCGAAAATATGGTCGTCGTCGAAAACTTACACTGATTCTTGAGTTTGGTACAAAAATATTTACCAAGCCAAGAGCGGTGTATTTATTTTGCCCTAGACACAATTCAATTTGAGAATTTGGTATAAAAAATGTTTCTTGTCAAATGAACACAGTTGACAGAAGTTTAAGCGCCTACCACACGTTCATTATTCGAACGCAAACGCGAACGTATACGTAGGTTTTGTTAACGTTCGCGTTCGAAAAGAAGAAAACAAATCAGCGTTCGCCTATGTTATGTAGAAAAAATTCTCGCAGTTGTTCGTACTCGTATGTACTATGCAACTTATAGCTGCATTTGTGAAGGCACGATGTTGAATCATTAGTACCCAAAAAAACTTTAAGGACCGGTTACTCAATGTCTGGTTAACACTAATCTCCGGTTAAACATAGTTATCGACGTTACCGACTCCCTGTTATATGCATGGAGTCGAAGTCGTCGATAACGATGTTTAACCGCAGATTAGTGTTAACCAGACATTGAGTAACCGGCCCTAAGCGTGTAGGGGTGCCTTATTGATGCATATTTTACCACTGAGGGTCAATTCCCGTTCTGCGTTAGTCTGCGTTCAAACACGGAAACTCGAGTTGCTTATTATCGGCGATTTCTCTTTTGGTGTTGCCCTTTGCATTCACACACAGAAACTATTTTGTACGCAATTGTTGTTGTCAGCTGTGAATCGTCAACTTGAATTACTCAGACGAACGAGAGCACAAAGCGTGTTTCCCGAGTACTGGCGACTCGGTACCCGTCCCCTTTCCTCGTCGCTCTCTCCCCTACAAGCTTCGAGTTTCCGCAACAAAAGTTTTCGTGTCTGAACATCGACTTTTCGTGAAGTGAAAAAAAAACTTTTCACTTTCGTTTTCATTTGATGTTTTCACGTTTTCACTTCATCAATCTCTAAAATGCGAATCTTATTTATGCTATGAAAACTGCTCGCTGAATAGCTTATGAAATTGCGCTGAATGATATTTTTTGACAGATGGTGTAAATAAAATTGAATTTTAAACTATTATCGAACCTCCACAAAATGTCTGCTGTAATTTTTTTACTAAATTTGTCTAGAAGATTGCGGAAACGACTCTGGTAAAAATCGCGAATTGATAGTTTTTTCATTTTGATGCATATGTTGTTTTTTTTTTTTACATTTTTAGGGAGCACCCCAGACTTTTAAGAAGGAATCTTCGAGATATGGAAAACCCATTCACTAAAATAACAGAAGAGCACTTTGTCGAATTATATCGATTTTCAAAGGCACTATGCGTTCAGTTGATTAATGAACTCAAACCATTCCTCAAGGGCTCATGTAAATTGCATGCCATTCCGAGCCATATAAAGGTTCTGTGCGCACTTCGATTTTTTGCCACTGGTAACTTTCAGCGAGCATTGGGACAAGATCAGTTTTTTTCACACTCACAAGCATCAGTAAGTCGCAACGTGAAGAATTTAATGCAAAGAAAATACAATTTTTCGAAAAACATGGATTTCCGGGAATAATAGGCTTAATCGATGGGACTCATATAAATATATGCGCACCAAAAAAAGAGATTGAACATGTGTACTACTGCCGCAAGGGTGGCCATTCCAAAAATGTACAAATTATATGTGATGCCAACCACCTTATATTAAATGCAAGTGCTAGATTTGGAGGTACAGCCCATGACTCCTATATTTGGCGAAGTTCGAAAGTGCACGACTCTCTTAAGCAACATTTCGATAGAGGAGAACGTGATTTCGGGCTTTTAGGAGATAGCGGATATCCATTACAAGTATACCTTTCTAATTTCAAAAGCTTTTCTAGATATTTTAAACCTTAATAATTCTTTACTTAGCCTTGGCTGATGACTCCAATCGCTGAACCAGCATCTAACGCCGAAGAAATCTATAATATAGCACATAAAAAAACAAGAGCTATTGTTGAAAGACGCATTGGGGCGCTGAAGAGCAGATTTCGTTGCCTATCCAAGGAAAGGGTACTTTTTTACAGTCCACAAAAATCAGGCATTATTATATATGCTTGTATCGTACTGCACAATTGTCTTATATCTGCTAGAGTGCCTTTCAACGAAAGGATTGAAGAATCTGAAACACACATAGCCGATGAAATTAGTCCAACATTTGACAATGTTTTAAGTGAGGCACGAAGACAACGAGCAAGAATTGTTGAAGCCTTTCGCCAGTGAATAAAAATGGAAATAACTTTCTTTTATATTTGAAACTTTAATGTAAATTAAAGCAGGTCACACATTAGGCTTGGTTGGTAATTTTTTTGTTTGAATCGAAATTGAATAGTCAAGGGTATCGGTAAGGTTCTAGAATACAGTGCACAATTTTAGATAAACCCATCAAGCCATTTCGTCGAACAATTAAAATAGCAGCATGATTCAATATTTTTAAAACTCCTTCACTCTGGGTCAATATGGATTGATCATGTACAGTGGTCGAATAAATTTTAGCCGATATCATCTTTCTTCAAGCTTACTAATTCCTCTAGCGCCTGCTCTTTTTTTCTCGTTGTGGCTAAATCGTCATAATCTATTACGTCATCAGCAAACAACTTGTCTCTTGTCTGGCGCTTCTTAGTTTTCTGAAGTACCTTTGGCGTTTTGCTATTCAGAGTGGAGGGCATTGCATCGTTTTGATATGCGTCCGTCGGACTCTCCGGAATAAATTGTGTAGTATCCACTTCAATAACTTCTTCAAACAACGGAGGGCTCCGATCTATAAAGCAATCCTCTTCCTATAGAAATTTGAATTAATAAAGATACATTAATAAGCATACATACTAACAAATAAGAACACACTTAATAGGGCTGTTCAGGATCTTGCGTATTCACAATTTTGTCAAATCCAAGTTCAGGATAATAGTCTCCATCCACTGCTTCCTTTGAGATTAAATTTATAATTCTCTTTTGAAACTCTGTCATTTCCTTTAGCTTTGTTATACCATTTACGCCACTCCTTTCTTGCTGCTGCTTTATTGAACTATATTTTGATTTGGTGGAGAGCCTATTAACAAATTTAGGAAAATGTTTGACGTTGTTATTTTCATTAAAAACATTCATGCCAATTATGGTATCCATGCCACCTTGGCATATGCTCTTGCATTTGCCACCTAGGCATCCGACTCATCTATTCCAATCTCTACGGTCATAACAATCGAATGTGAAGGATTAAATTCGTGTGAATGGCATGTATTATCCGACGGATTCCTTCACATGCGATTGTTATGACCGTAGGGATCGGAATAGATGTGTCGGATGCCGTAATTGGTATGAATAATTTTTACCTCAAGTCGGTCCAAAATTTTCTCCACTTTTTTCTACATTTTTGTGCTGCTCCCAGTCCATTAAGTGTCTGCGCCAATTCCTCCCACTTCTTATGTTGGGTTTTAGCTCCGTCTACCCCTATAAATCTATGAAAACGCACAATCTTTAAGCAATGTTAAAACGGCAAAAGTAGAAAAATTACTTATCGTTGGCTAGGTCAGGATTATTTTCTAAATAATTAATGAGGTGCTCCTTTTGGACTTCACTTGCTCTTTTTGCACGACGTTGAATTTCTTTTTCCATTTTCAATTTATTTTGCTTGCAATTGCGTTTAACGCGGCATTTTTTCGGCGTTAATTTGGTTTTCACTTCACTTCAATTCGATCAGCTGTTGGCACTTTAACGCAAAACGAGAATCGCTAATGTGGAGAATTGGTGAAAATATTTTTCACTTCTCGTTAAGGCCCTGTCTCCACAGGAAAACACTGATGTCGTGATTACCATGTCACAAAATATATTTCCAATGGAGACCGCCTATTTCTCATGTGCTGCAATATATGTCAGCGCTTATTGCTTGACATCTATTGCAGGCAATTCGATAGTTGGACAGCCATATTTTCATTTAAAAGAACGCGTGCTGGTGGTAACATCGATGAAATTTTGATATTAAATCAAAATAAAAATCTGTTCCGTATTGGATAAATTATGATTACGTTTTAGGAAATTATTTAGCTAGTTTTTTAAAGATTTAAATGTTTTTAAACACCGAAATTGAGAGAATGTTGTCTGGTGGCGTCATGCGGCAAATGCTTATTTCAAGACATCAAAGTGCCCACACACAAAAACTTGCAATCACATTGCTCGTCAAAATGACAGTTGGTAGGCCATCGCTGTTCGCCTGTGGAGTTCTGCGGTAACGCAGAACGGGAATTGACCCTCTGGTGTATTAAACATACCAACCAGTGTTGCCACTTGACAATATTTTTAGGAACAAAAAATCGTACCAAATCAGTTTCCAAACTACTATTTTTTTTAATCATCAGATATTGATATTTTATTTCGTTTCTGATTTTACTTTATGTAAAAGTATGAATCTTTGAGATTAATTCAATTTATATCAATTATTTTATGTCTAAAATGTAAAAAAATACAATCGATATAAACATTTTATATTTGGTAACAAAAAAAATTTATTACTGTGCTCGCGCAATTTTATTTTTATTTATTTGTTTTCATTTAACTATGATGCAATAAAATTACGGAATGTCAGCAACATAATCTTAATATTTCGGTACGAATTTTAGGCCATTTTAGCACGCTTTCAGTACGCTTTTCTACTTTTACATCACCATTGTATTACCGCCATTCGACAAAATTTATTTAAAATTTTTACAAATGTTCTAATAAACGAATACTATACAACAACAGTTCAATGCATTTTTGACATTTCGAATAGGATTTATTTTCTATTATAACTTCAAAATTTCGGTAGGATTGCAAAACATCTTTAAAATTTGGAATCGAAAAACCAAATCGATGAGAAATCAATTTCGAACGAAAACAGAACAGCCCTGAATTTTTTTGCCCAACGAAGCAAAATGAAACCACCAATTTTTCAAAACGGCAACAACGATAGCAGCTCTACTTGTGGTATGTATGTATAACAAGCTCATATTGAAGCAGGCAGTGTATTATAGTTGCGTTCCTTATCTCCCAGAAATAGTCAGAAAAAGTCCGAAGTAGTAAAATTTAGTCCAAAAAGCGTTCCTTAACTCGAAAATGAGACAGCAACACTCAGTGAGAGTGACTCTCTTCAGTCCGAAGTAGTCAGATTTAGTCAGAAGAATTTTAGCTGGCAAAATCTTGAAAAGTGACAAACTCAACTGAATTTAAATTAACGGAAACTAAAGAATACACAAAAAGTTAGAATAATCTAAAAAGTAAAAAAAGTTAATTGAAAGTGGAAGGAGGCAAAAAATATTTGATATAGTAAGTGTTTTTTGTGCTTGTGCTTGCGTGAATTTGTTTTGTACATACATTTCTATTCTTGTTTGACGTTAGTCTTGTTGCCATTCTTTGGACTAAAAATTTGGTTTTTTGCGTTCCTTTACTTTTTCTTGTTATTCTCTTTTAGTGAGCGCATTTTGCTTACGCTCTTGCATTTTGACACTTTTCAGATTTTAGTCTGAAAGATAAGGAATGGACCTTATGTACACACACACTAGCTTTGTTTCTTTACTTTTCTACCAGATCATTATCAGGAAGATGAATGGGAAGAATTACAGAATTACGCTCACAGCGAGTGAAATATCGAAAAAGTTAAGAAACGCAAACTAGCAAGTAAACACCTGACCGATGCTTTTGACAACTGAGCATATGTATTTGCTGCGAATTTTTAATCGCATTTTATGTTTAAAAATTGTTACCAAATACTCACGTTTTGCCACACTTTATCAAATTTAATAAATCGCTCATTTTTATTAAAAAATACCAAAATATGTAAAAGAAGCAAATCAAAGTAGCTGTGCCTAACCTCTCTTAAGTTGGGGCAGCAGCTGAATTTTTCACCGCATTACGTGAAAATTATGGCCCCTATTATGAGATGAATTCGATTTTCGATCTTCGCTGGCTATCGAAGATCGAAATTGAAATTCGTATTATGAGCTATGCAAGTGTGTCGAAATTTTCGTTGAGTATCGAATTTTCTGTCGAACAGAATTTTGCTTTCGTTGGTGTAGCGAAGTGTTAGAAAATTTTAAAGATGTATGATTTTGCATTTGTTTTCTTACTTTTTGGCGGCTAGACACTAATTTTAAACAATTTGTATTAATTTCAAGAGCGGCCCCAGGATAGAGCCTTGGGGAACCCCAGACGACAGACGGTCGTAGCTTAGATAGTTTCGAATTAACTTTTACACACTGAGACCTGCCTACCAAGTAGCTCTCCATTAGTCGCACTGCAGATTGTCCAAAGCCAAAATAGTTCTTTAGTTTTAAGCAAAGCAGTTCGTGGTTCACTGAATCAAAGGCTTTGGAAAAATCTAGCAAGCAAAGTAATGTCAGGTGATTTTTGTCAAAGCTTATACGAATATCATCAAGAATTTTTATCATTGCTGTGGAACAGCTGTGCTTACTTCTAAACAGAGCTGTGTAAGTGTGAAATCATTTTCAATTTAAAATCAACAATTTTTTTCTTTCCAGTTTTCATTACTTATTCTTCGCTTAGGATTGAGGTTTAAAATTTTTGAATTTTCCATTCCCTCAAAACAGTTATGAACTCACACACCAACATATTCATAGCAAGATTGAAAAAACCAATGCCCAATCAAAAAAAGGTTTAACACTGAATGAGT